GCAGGAGTTGTCAGATCAGAGCAGGGGTGAGGAGGAGGTCAGATGGGAGATCAAAGTCCAGGAACTAGGGCAGGTACAGTCAGTACTGTCTCTCTCCAGTTGAGGCCTGGAGCCCATTGGCTCACCAATGTCTCACCAGCAGATCCTCTGAGCAGGGTTTCTGTTCAAGAGTCCTCAGAGGGTTCTTTGTAATTGATCTGAATTTTGAATTCCTCCCTTCACAATAGGATGCAACCTGTCAGCATTATTCAGCAAGCCTTATAGTCACGTAATCAGATAAACTTTAAAATCATAGAAACAGCCTTGTTAGTTCTAATGACAGGGCACCAAGCTTTCAGCTGTTTTATATGCAGACAGTTTTAGGTCTAGCTCTGTCTGAGCACCAGGTAACTCTGAGTCACCTGTGACATTGTTAAGATACAGCTTTCCTGGGCCTGCCTCTAAGTCTGATGTGGCTCCTAACATCCTGAAAGACAATGTGACACAATGGCTAAGTGTAGAGTCTGTCAAGGAAGACTGCTTAGATTGCAATAGTTCTGCCCCCAGCCCAGAGAACTTGGGTGAATTTCTTAACATTTCCGTGCTAGTATATTATCTATTACAGGAAATAATCCTATTCATTCCATTGGTTTATTATGAAAGACTAGTGATTTAATATATGCTAAGTGCTCAATAAATGTTATTTACTATTTGTATTGGTCAGTTTTTCATTGCTGGGACCAAATAACTGACATACACATCTTTTTTTTTTAATTTTAAAGAGAAAAACAATGAAGCAAAATTTCAAAACAGGATAGTAGGTGAGTAACAGTGGTTAATACATTGTGTATTGTTGTCTTCAAGTAGTTGCTCAACATGCAAGATATAAGCATGAAAAACTGACCAAACAATATTAGCATAAATCTTTCTTTTCAGTGAACTAAGAGAAATTAGTAGTGCAACTATCTTAACTACTATATGCATTTTTCCCCTTTCTTCTTTTCTCCTTTCTTCCATACCTGTTTTTTTTTTCCTTTTGAACAATTTCTTCCCATTTTATAGTATCTATTGTACATTCTGGATCATATTTCTAGGGAAATAATATAATGCTTACACGTGTAAATCTGTATGGTCTCAAGTTGTATCCATTTACAGAGGATTTATTTTTGCTCACAGATTCAGAGGGTTCAGTCTATGGTTAGCTGGCTCTGAAACAGAAACATCAAGGTAGAAGGGCTTGTCAGAAGAAAGCTGCTCACCTCATAAAAGCCAGAAGCAGAGCACAGGGGAAGAGTGCCAGTGGGAGATATACTTTTCTAAGGCATCCCCCCAGTGACCTACCTCTAAGTGCACCCATGTACTAATAGCATATGCAACTATAAAAATTACTCATATGGTGATGAGTATACTCATCGCCTATTGAATTTAGCACTCCCATGATCCAATCATCTTTCTAGAAATCTCTTAATCCAGTCAAGTTGACAATAAGCTTAGATGTCACATGTTGTTACCTTTCTTTTTACCAAGCTCTATAAGAGATTTAGAAGCACACTTCATTCATTCATTCATTCATTCATTCATTTTTAAATTTTTCTATAAATACTCCTACCTGTAAAGACTCTTAAGTACACACAACCCTTTCCACTTATATCATGGCACTAGCATGGAACCAGTATTGGCAGTACTGTTCCACTCACTGCCTTCAGATCTCTGAACCCTCATTGGATTCTGATGCTCTGGGCTTCACTTCTGGTATCCATAAGCACAGTGAACTTCATTTCATAACCATAGCATGGAACAAAATGGACAGAACATAGGGATCATTTGGACTTGGTGCTCCATTTTTTAGTGAGTGATATTGCAAATTTCATGTAGAAGATACCTTCTCTCTACTGCCTGCACAATCTCTAGAAATGGCCTTGTCCCTCTTTACCTACAGGGCTGGGAGAAGACTAGAAATATACATATGGTTTGGTCTTCAATTAGGCCTCGGATGGTGAATGAGGGTGGGCACCTACCTAAGTTGAACCAATCCTGTCTTCAAGTCCCTGAAGACTCCAGTTATCTTACTGAATGGAGGGAATATAAATCTAGGAGATGTTAGTGCTGAAATTTCCACCAGTCTGCAGTTAGAAAGAAAAGTAGAGCCAACATTCAGATTTATCAGGCAACTAAGGTTCCAGATTGTCTCTTTATTCTGGGACACCAAAGCATCTCCAGTCTTTGGTCCTGTGACACATTTTTTATTCTTTCACTAATCCTTCCTTGAATGTAAATCAGATGTAACAAGTATTACTTATTCCTTGCTTCCTGAAAGGACCCTGTCAGCTTGTCTTTCTCATGCTCGACATATTTATTTCCCAAGGGCTGCTCAATAAAGAAGCAAATTCAAGGTTTCAGGACTGGCATTCTTGAGACCAGAAAGCCCTATCCCGACTCTAGAACCTCCATCTCCCCTTAATGAGCTTTTGGATCAGGCAGTTTTACAAACAGAAGATAAAAGGGCTGGGAATCTTGAATACTAGTTGGATGCTTGGCCTAGCTTTCATGGAAGGCTCCTATTTCTAAATGTCCTTAAAGGAATCTCCTGGAGAACCATAGTTTCTTTTGTATCTGTCATCCACAGCACTGTTCTTTTCCTTCACGTTCACAATGTTTCAGGCACTGACATATTTTCCACCTTGAGTCAGATTTCCCACAGACACACGGAATTGGTGATGAGGTCTTATCTGTCCCTCCTGGGTCTAGGGAGCAGGAAGATGGAATACTGAAATATGTGTCTTCATATTATTGAAGCTTCTGGGGCTTCCCTTACTTTAGATCTGCCTCTACTACATGCCATGGAACTGAAGTGTGTTACCCTCTTCTGCACAACTTTTGCTCAGTTAGGTATCTTTTCTTCTGTCTTGTGGGTGGAACTGACAGCTCTTTTGGATCAGTACAGCATCAAGTGCTTATTAATTTGATGAGACAGTTTCCAATTGATTTCTAGCCTTCTAAGTACCCTCCTCAACCTCCCTTGGAATCTCCAAGAACTCTGCAATTTCCAGCAACTAAAAGGTTAATACTGGCCTAGCAGGGACCTCCAAATGCTCCTGTAAAGCTTAGGCTTAGACAGTTGGCATGGTTTCCAATTTGCTTCTATCTGAGTCACACTTGGTATCTTAAATATACGTCTTGTTTATAGAAAATGTTTAAAGAACTAATGTCATTAGTTTTTTTACTTGGACATTCATTCATTTAACAAAATTTTGAGAGGCAGCTTTGGGTCTTTCCTGGGCTAAGTGCTGAAGCTTTAATGCTGAACAAAGCTAACATAAAGAGTCCAGGTTGTTAGACAGATGGAACAACAGGAGGTAAGTAGATAAACAAATAGAAACTAGTTGACCATCCCTAACTTGAAATCCAAAATACGGAATGCTCCAAAATTCAAAACTATTTAAGTGCCAATGTGACAGCACATGTGGAAAATTCCACACCTGATCTCATGGGACAGGTTGCAGTCAAAGCACAAATGCAGTAAAAAACTGAAAATACTGTGTAAAATAACCTTCAGACTATGTGTATAAGGTACGTATTAACCATAAACAAATCTTGTGTTTGGATTTGGATTTCATCTTCAAGACATTTTTCACTATGTATAATATACAAGTATCCACCCCTCCACATGTGAAATTTGAAACAATTTTGAAACCCAACCATTCTGATAAGATATATAAATGTTGTACTATTAAGCTCTGACTAATGCTATAAAGAGAAAGACTGCTGTCTGGCAAGAGTGAATCATGCAGAAGCTCATTTTAGGGGGGGGTGGAAAGACTCAAAGACTTTAGAGAACAGCAGTTCAGGAAGAGGGGCTCAGAAAATACTGGTATGAAGAGTCTGTCATTAGTTGAGTGTGTCTAAGGACACCTAGCTGAGAAGGAGCAGGGCAGGACCCTGGGTCTGTGTCTGTCTGATTCTAAAGTCTATGTACTTTCATTCTTCCTGGATTATTTTTGCTCCTGCACAATCAACCACCTTATTAAGATCATTGGGAATGGACGACCTGCAAATCACTGTTTTGATCTGCATATTACTGCTGCCCTAACTACATCATGAAAATTTCTTTGTAATACAAGGCATAGCAAGATGCTTCCTGTTAGTTTAAGTGAATCATTCACCAAATTGAACCATATAATCTCAAGAGTTACAAAAGAATATCAGAAAACTGCACAAGGAAACTTAAATCCTGTGCATGTGGATAGGACCTAGGGGCAGAGTTTTTCCTCCTTGGTTGCACAAAATGATGTCTACTTCTGGTATCATTTTTGCCTATGGCGCCTCTGAAGTCAGATTTCTTCATGGTCTCTCTGCCTCACCTCAATTCCTGAGTAGAGCTGAGTAGCCCTGGGGTACCTATCACCTTACCCCAGAGCAGGCAATCTATAGGTAAGACAGAAATAAGAATAGAGGAGCACCCTCATAAATTTGAGCCAAATGAGGGCTACTTGCAGAGCAGAAATTGGCGAAAGTGGTCAAGAGTGAGAGGTGACAGCAGATATGCCATCGACACATGTCCTGGCTGTGGTAGACACTGCTAACTGCCCTCATTGTTAGTAAATAAATGTTCAGCTGCCTCTTGATGGGTGGAGGAAGGAGGAAAGACAGAGTACAGAATGGGATGATTGCCAATTTGTGTGGTATAGGTACTCTAAGACTGATTTCCAGATGATATCAATGAATAAAAATGGGATGGGCTGGGGGCACTGCATGCATGGATCTAATAAGTCTATGTGAGCCAACTCCAGGTCACCACCGAGTTATCTTCTCCTTGTTTATACTATTAAGAAGCTCCCTCTGGGATTCATCAGGGTAGGTGGCTACCTGACTAGGAACTATATTTCCCAGCCCCTCTCTATTGGAAATGGCCATATAAATAAAATCTAGTCAGTGGATTGTGAATAGAATTAACGTGGGCAACTTCTATCCTTAAACAGCCTTTGGCTGACCCTGCTTATTTTCTTTCCCCTTTCCTTTAGGTTGGACTCCAACATGGTGTAGATGGGGATAACACCATGGGGGCCAATAGGACCAGTGAATTAGAGAGAATCTGATCTTTGGACAACACTTTGGAGCAGAGCTGCCAGCAATCCTGGGCTACTTGTGTACTTCTGTACCATTTTGGAATGCAGACCTCAGTCACTGTATATCTTAAAACTTGTATTTTGAAAGCCCTTCTTGGTGATGTGTGCCTCTAATCACAGCGCTCTAGGAAACTGAAGCAGAAGGATCACGAGTTCTAGCCAATCCTGGGAAACTCAGTGACTTAACAAAACCTTTTCTTAAATTTTTAAAAAAAGACTGGAGTGTAGTTCAGTATGAAGAACTTGGGTTCAATGCTCAATACCAAAAATGAATAAACAAATGAACAAACAAAAAATTTGTATTTTGGAGTCTCTTTACCAAGGCGCTGTACTCTGAATACTAATACCTAGCCCTAGAGCTACCTGAGAATGGATTCATTTTGTGAATACTTTTACCACAACTTTGTCCTCCCTTTTAAAGTGTCCCAAATGATTCTCTTTATGTTGTAACCAAAAAATGTTAGCATTGTTAGAATAAACTACAGAAACCATCCTAACAATCTCAGTAACTGAGAACACCAAAGATTTGTCACTGAAGTTGAATGACAACTGCAGGTTATTTAAGCTTCTCTTGACATGTCTTCACATTCTAGGTCCCAGACTGAAGAAGTTGCCTGTATATCAATTTGAAGACAGAAAGAAACCTGCAGTGGGTAAGTCTTGCCATGGCTTTAAAATTACTGTTGGGATGTGGCATACATACTTTCTGTGCATGTTCAATAGGCGAACAGAAGTCGAGACTAACATTAAGAAGCCAGTGGGGTTTGCTTCTGCCACAGACAGGCACTACAAATTGTGTTGCAAGGGCAGGGATGGGTAATCCTTTTACTTAAAATCCAATAAAACATATGGAATAGAGATACACTGTATCAAAAAATGCAAAGTGAAAAACATGCATCCTGTTTGGGCAGGTGTTACTATTATATTGTCCTTTCACAAATGATGATGGCGGAGCTTAAGAAGCTATGTGGTCATATCATCTATGTGTTTTTGGAGTTGAAATCTCTGAGAATCTCACCCCAGTGTCTCTTCTGTGGATCAAGTTCTCATTAATAAAATGTGGATAATGTAGAATACCTTCTGCCTTTTGGAGTCTACTTTTGGAAGCCAAGCCCAGGGGTTTGTAGAGGACTTATTTTAAGCTCAGCATGTAGAAAGAGAAGAGAAGGCTGTAGACAAAAGTTAGAAAATTGGGAGGTAAGTCTAGGGGCTTTACCACTAAATGCCTATTTAGAATCAGAAAGTTGTTTAATGTCCCTGAGTCTTAGTTGTCTGTGCATGCAAGTATTAGAGCATGCAGCTAATATATTTCCAAGTCTTGGTCCATTTTTTCTTGTTATAATAGGTAATTTATAAAGAACAGAATTCTGGAGTCTGGAAAGTCCAACAGCATGGTACCAGTATCTGCTTGGCATCTGGTGAGTATCATTTTGCTTCATACTGACTTTATGGAGGACACCACATGACAAAACAAGGCACACACACTTGGGTATAGTTGGGGTCTTTGTCTTTTACTAAAGCTACCTTCTGCCATCATGGTGGCCCCTCTCATGATTTCATCTAATTCAAACTACTTTCTGAAGGCTCCATATTTAAATATTATTGACATACATGCTTGATGATTTAAGTTTCCAATACTGAACTTTTGGGGAGACACATTCACACCACAGCAGACTCTAAGAAGTTAATATCTAACTTCCCTATTCCCAGTGAATCTTTAGAAGTCTTGTTCTTTAAAAGTACCTTGGAAGGCAGCCCTGATAAACTTCTCATGTGTCTGTTTGTTCATTCAAATACACAAGTAGGTGTTCTTTGTGCCAGGCTTTAATGGAGGTACAGGAATAGTTAGATTCAACACTTTGTTTCAAGGAGTTTCCCCTTTATTGAAGGGGATACACAAGGACATAGATAATGGTAAACCTGAGGCAAGTGATCTATGTTCAAAACAGAGTGATCAGGAATATAAAGGAAATATACAAAGATGCTGTATCACATCTGAAGGACACAGCTTCCTCAGCCTTGACGTGATGTTGTGTGTATGTGTGTGCGCGCGCGTATGTGTGTGTGTGTGTGTGTGTGTGTGTGTGTGTGTGTGTATGTGTGTGTTGGAAGGGAGGTAGGAAGAAAAGGGAGAGGAACAGGCAGAGGGGTGAGAATGATAAGTTCAGGCTGGGAACCATGAGACATGTGAGAGGAAGTAGCCAATTGGCCCATGACAGCTGGGACTGAGGTTAGAAGGGGGTATAAACTTAGGTTGTATATTGGGGGAAGTTTGCAAAAAGATGCTCAGTTTAGCTTCACAGCACATGTTCATTGTCACTGGATGTAGGTCCAAGTGCCCTGAACTCCTAGTAGCCTCACTGCACAGGGCAGCCACACACACCAACATTTCCTGGCAGGGGATTGACCTCTGCTGGGTACACCGGTGTATAAGTTGCCCCTGAAGGAACAAATGTGCAGCATCAATTACATTTTATGGCCTTGTCTGATGCTGGAACACGTAGAGAGGGCACCAGGTCATCCCCGGCGCAGTGCAGACATAAATCAGGCAGCACCCTGCTTCCTGAGGCCCCATCCAAGGAAGACAGGACCTGCCCAACTCTAACTGGGATCAATTACAGTCTATTCCTTTGCCTGCCTGAGTTACTTCCACAGAATTGTGCAAGCAGGGCCCCAGGAGACCCTGCAAGCAGCAGCTCTCAGACTGTGTCTATGACAAGATGCAGAGCTCTAACTTGGACAGGATGAAGGGGAGAAAGATATGTGAAGAGGGTAAAAATAATGATAATGAAATAACAACCTCTACTTACTTACACTGACTGCAGCAAGCAAGAAACATGCCAACCATTTTACACAATTATTTCATTAGCCTTGCAACAACCTTGAAGGAGTGTCTGTTGTTGACTTCATTTTACAGATGATCAAACTGAGGCTTGTGAGGCTGACCGATTTGCCAGGACTACCCACTTCAGCAATGGTGGAGCCCCAAATTCAAACCCGTTCGCCTCAGACACTGAGTTCTAAAACCATGTTGCAGACCTAGACAAATTGTCTTTTGGAATCACACAGGTTTAGATCAAAGCCTGCCTTTGCCACTTCCTAATTAAGTGTTCTGAAGCAAGTTACTGAATTTCAGAAGCTTCAGTTTTCTCTTCTGTGAAATAGAAATAGCAGAGTCTGCCTTGGAATAGTATTAGGAAGACTGAGAATAATATATGTAACAACTTGGTAAGTGGTAGTGATATTACCATCACTGCCATGGTATTCTTGCCTCTTTTTCTCACCACTGTCAAGTAGAAGAGAGAGTGTGTCCCAGGACTTCTACGAATGAGAGTATTTGAAAACCTGAGAGTAATTTGGTGTGGTTTAACATGATGGGAAGGGTAAAGTAAGAGAATTAAATGCAAAAAATGGAAGGAGGCAGATCATGCAAAATAACTTTATAACCATAATAAGAATTTAAGGGCATTAGTTTGAGGTCAAGTGGAAACCATTGAAGAATTTTATTCAGGTAACACACTTGGCCTTTCTTGTCCTGTGCCAGGTAGAGATGTTTTAGGCACCCTATCTTGCTCTTTCTAGTACTACATAGGACCTAAGACATAGTAGATGTTAACATCATATGTATTGAGTATATTTTCCCAAAGTTGCTTAATTATGAGAAACAGGTATACACTCCTGCTAGCTTAGGAAAGGTCACATATTTTAGGGATAGTTTTAGGTGCTGTCTAAGAAAGATGCTAAGAAAGATGCTGTCTAGTTTAAGATGCTGTCAAAGCCAAGAGCAGAGACTACATCTGGGAGATACTCCTGGAAGAAGGTGGCTGCAGGTCCTTTGCAGACAGGAAGCATAGGTCACCAGCGATGCAGTTTGCCTGTGTATCCCAACTCTGCTTCTTTCCTACCTGTGGACCCCTCTCATTCTTAGTTTTGGTTTCTCTAACACTTTTTTTCTTATACATGGTCCTTTATTGTTTCACTGGCTTCTTCTATATCATGAAGTCTTAGTCTTAATTTGTTTTGATAACTGCATTGTTATTATTATGGTTACTATTTTAGTTCAAAGCATATAATGAAGAATCTAATTAGTGAAGCCCACTTTTCATACAGCCCAAGTCTGGATGAGGGAGGTATGTACATTTGAATAAAATCAAGATTCTGGGAGATCCAAATAATGGAGGCGGGGAATGTTATTGGGACAGCAATCAAAAGTGAACTTTGTGTTACATAAATAACTAATTTTGGGTTTGGAGGTTTAGCTCAGCCGTGTAAGTGCCTGCTTGGCAAATGTCAAGGGTGTGAATTCGATCCCTGGCACCAAATAAATAAATAAATAAATAAATAACTTTAAATTGTGAACATTTCTTCGAAGAAGTATACATTGCTATAAGACAGTGTGACAGAAAGACCTAACTTAGATTAGGTAGAGGTAGGAATTTCCAAAGGCAAATGGCTTGCTTGCTCATGAGTCAACTATTTAGAATACAGGGTTAGTTGCTATAATAAAAAGTCTCCTAACATATAATAGCTTACCCCAGATATATATTTGTTTTTCTCACTTGGATAGTTCAACTTGGTGGGTTTATATGATTCCTGAAAATGAGGCCTCATCTCTGGGTTTATAGCACCAAGTGTGGTCATATCCTTGAGACAAGAACTCAGAGTGTCACAACCAGCTGCAGGGAAAGATGGGGAACAGAGTCCCATTGGGTGTTTCTATAAAATAAAATAAGCTTGAGTCATTTGATGGAAAATGGATGCATTTTGAGACCATAATGTTAAGTAGAATAAATCAGAGGCACAAGGTTAAATATTCTCATATAAGAGAAACCCAAAGTATAGATAAATAGCAAAATAAAAGATAGATAATAGAAAGATAGATCTTTCTCAAAGGGGAAGGGAATTAAGAGATGGAGGGAGGCGACTGAAGGAAGGGGAAGGGACGAAAAAGGAACTGAGATGTATTATGCATATGTACCAACTCCACACAAGGAATGTAAATGTCATGCACTACAAATATGTACTTTTACAGAATATGATCTGAATAAAAAAATAACTTTGATAAGAAGAGAAGGTAAGAGAGGCAGAAATAACTGAATCTAGAACAAAAGAACAGAAGAGGACTTTCTTTTCTTTCCTCCCTCCTGGTCTGGAAATCCAACCTTGTAGATATTGAACATATGCTCTTACCATTAAGCTACACCCCTAGTCTCTATCTGTCTCTGTCTTTGTCTGTTTCGGTCTGTCTGTCTGTCTCAACAGAGAATATGTGTGACAAGGAGGAACATTTTAATGGAGGAGAGTTGAATGAAATGAGAAATTGGAAGGTATCACATTGTACTGGTGAGAGGCAGCTCTCAGAGCAGACAGAATCATCCCAAAGAGCAGAGAGCAGCCTTGAGCAGAGTGAAGCATTTCCTCTGAGAGGAAAGGAAGACAGCAAGGATGTGTGGTGAGGTTATTGGCGCACAGTTATAATGTAAGAACACATTTGTATCTTACAGATATTTCATGATCAATCAGAGGTCTCCGACCAAGTTTCTATTCTGCTGCTTCTGCTGAATTCAGTTGACCTTGACAGTGTCTCAAGCCCAACTGCACGACTTTGATGAGCACAGAATCAGAGTAACTTCTTATACCTCAAGGCACTTTGACCTAGTCAAGGATGCCTTTGACTATGCTTGCTCTGTAAGGGCCCTTCCCTTTGTTCCCTGGAGTGTTAACATATTATGATAAACAATTCCTTTGTTTCAACAAATGTGTTCAAAAGTAGCCTGTGTTCAAGACTAGCCTGTCTGTCAATATATAACTCAAAGCATATATCCAACTATGTAACTTTGTCACTTGCTTTGTACCTCCCACTTCTGAATACTATATAAACTAAGATTTCTGTAAATTCAGTGTTGTAGCCTTTGTGGAATTATCCTGCAGGAGTCCACTGGTGTCAAGATTCAACAGTCTTCCGGTGTAAAGATTAAAGGCTGCCTTCTTATCTCCATGGTACAAAGAGTCTTCCTTTCCATTTGATTTGTTTTGGGAATTTTCCCACAAAATGGTGAAGGTGTCTGTGGGACAAAGGGGATGAAAATCCAGCCACTTCTGCTTGAGAGCACCTTGCTCTGAGTGAACCAGAAGGGAGGGAATTTCTGGCACAGAAGAGGCATGTGACTGAGCAAGGGATAACAGATCCACGCACCCATGTGAGGATTCAATCAGATTCAGAGTCATCCAGCTTTGACTCACACATTCAGAGATTATCAAAACCAAACTAGTTGAGAGATAAAGTAGGGATGTCATAGAACCAAAGGCAAGGGGTCTCTGGGCCTTGGGAAGATCCTGATTCCAAGAAATGGACAGTTCCATTTTTTCAGTGATGGCTTGGTCCATGGCATAGACATGGGAAGTGTGGAGGGAATGTTAAATTTTCCTGGGGCAATGGGTGTGTGTGTGTGTGTGTGTGTGTGTGCGCAGCAATTCTAGAAACTTAAAAAAGAACTGAACTCTTGACACTGTCTCATATGAGGTTAAATATCCCCATCTGTGTCTAACTTGTATTGTGATTTTATTTATAGCCATAAACTGGTGACACTTAAGGGGCATTTGAATTACTCTTTGGGGAGTGTAAAACTCAGAATCCCATCAGAACACAGTTGACATGAAGTAATTTGAGAAAAATTTAACAAAGGGTCAAATTCTGGCCCATTGTAGAGTTTTTATCTCCAGGGATGTACAAAGGAATGGGTAGGGTTTAGGAAAACCATAAAAAATGGTGCAGATCCTGCAGTTAGCAACAACAAAATTGTTACCTTCCCTAGATCTGAAGGCATAAAAGCAATTTCTTGAACTCAGAGGAGCCTTCCTATAGAGGGCTGAGATTGCCAGTTGAAGAATGTAGCAGCCCATGGCAGCCTGGGATGGGGAAGTCAGAGGAACACACATCCTACCCTCATCTTTCTCCTGACCTCCAATCTCTTGTCACGGCTACACCCCACAGGGAGCCAGAGTGCATATGACCTTATTGGCGTAGTTGCTAGAGGTCAGCTATCTGGGTCCAGGGCAGGGTTGAAGAAGATGGAGAATATGTCTTGGGGTGGGGGAGGTAAATGGAAGAACACAGGAAGCTTCTATGGGATTCTACATGGCACATATACACTGTGGGCTCAGTACCCTTACCTGAATATCTGACTACTTCCTGTGATGTTAAGAGGAGAGAACTAGAGTCCTTACTTCTGAAAGTGGAATCATTCTCCAATGAGAGGAAATGTTTTCATTCTAATTTACACGATAGCTGAAGAAGAAGCATCTGAGGAAAGAACTTGAACTGTACCAATGATTGATGTATAGGTATGAACAACTATGTCTCACAAACTGGGAAACAAAGAGATAGTGACAGAAAGCAAAATCATAGGGGAAAATATGAGGTAGAAGCCATTCAACTCAGTGTGATAGGCAGAATAAGTTCCTCTTAAAAGGCCACATTTTTATCCTCAAAACTTAGGAATCTATTGCCTTGTACAGCAGCTAAGACTTTACAAATCTGATTTAAATTAAGGACTTTGTGACAGAGAGATTATTCTGAATTACTTAGGTGGGCCTAGTGTAATCACAGATACTTATAAGAAGGAAACATCAGGACCAGAGTCAGACAAGAAGACAGGACAGAAGCATCCATGAGATAATGTGGGGTCACAAGCCAAGGAATGTAAGAGGCCTTCAGAAGACAGAAAGGACAAAGAAATGGATTCTCCCCTACAGTTTCCACTCCAGAAGAAGTGCAGTTTTCTGACTCCACTATAGACTTCTGATTTTCAGGGCAATATAATAATATATCTGCACTATTTTAAACCCCTAACTGTGTGGCAATTTGTAGCAGCAATAATACAAAACTTATGAATCTGGGTATTATCTTAGTCTTTGAATCACATTAGAGATTGGTAAATAAGGAGTGAGTACCTTAAGGAGTCTAGAATGAAGAATAAAAGTCAGCTCAGGATCTGAGGAATGGTCATGAATTGTGTTTAGCATCTGTATTGTATACTTCTACATGTAGGGGAAGAAACCATCTCTCTAAATAATGTACCACTTCAACAGCACCTTGCTGTGGCTCTCCTCTGGGTGCAGAACCCAGCAGAGGGAGATCCACCTCATTATTCTTTTTGGAGTAAAAGGCAAGGGCCAGGATCAGGGCACCGGTGTTGATCCAAGTGGGGCGCAAGCAACAGTCCCATCAAGAGGCAGTCTAGGGCAAACAGTGTATCAGGAACACAGCCCACGTGGGCAAAAGCAGAGTGTGATGTCATCTGTCCTGCATGACATCAAGGGCATAGTGCAGGAGACAGCAGGAGGAGCAGCCCTGACTGGCCCAGACAATTCGGTGAGCCTTGAAGACACCTAGGAGCAAAGCAGCCTACAGTTCTGAGTTCCAGGCTGGGGATGGGTCAGCAAAATGTGTCTAAATGATAAGGTGGCTTCATTCCTAGGAATGAGGTCCATTGCCTCCAGTTTGCTCCTATAATACAAACAGAAGGAGACTGCTGAGTTAAATGTGGCCCCCTCCAAAGATATATTAGAATACTAGTTTCCCTAGGATCTCAGAATGTGACCTTTGAACTTAGGGTATTTAAACAAGTAAAATAGTTAAGATTAAGTTAAAGAGTGGGTCATAATCCAGTTCAACTGGCCTCCTTATAAAAGGGAGAAATTTGGACACAGAGATTGACCAATAGAGGGAAAACAATGTGAAGAGTCACAGAGAGACGACAGTCATCTATAAGGCAAGGAGAGGGACAGTTATCTGTAAACCAAGGAGAGGGGCCTGGAGCAGATATGCTTTACAGTCCTCAGAAGGAACCCGCCTTGCCCACACCTTAATCTCAGACTTCCAGCTTCCAGGACTGTGAGCTGATACATTTCTGTTGTCTAAATTGTGCAGTTTGTGGTAATTTGTCACGGCAACATTAGCCAACTAGTACGGAGACATTCTCTCCTGCTTCCTACAACTCCAGATGACTTAGGGGACTCAAGAGAGATGCTGGGTTGGGAATCATGAGAAGAACAAGGTACTGTTGGAGCTGAGGAAAGAAGCAGCTGTGCATGCCACGCCCAGCAGGGGAGCAGGGAAGCACCCACTGTCCTGGCCTCTGGCAATATGACTGCAGGCATCTGCAGATAACAGCTGTGCCCGGCCAGAGCAGCTGTGTGAAATTGGAAATCGGGCTTGGACGGACGGATAAGCTCTGCAGAAGAATGTGGAAGGACCCTGGGGTCAGCAAAAAAGCAGGGCCACTCATGTGCTGTGGGAACAGATTCATTTCTTAGCATAAGCGAGGTGTACCTTAGGACAATAAAACTCAGTAGGGGCACTTCATAAGGGACTGAAGATGACATGGTTACTGAAAGCCAATTTCACAAACTACACTGACTGTCTTAACTCCTCCCTTCTCTTCTCTTCCATCAGCCCTGGCAACGGCACCCCTCTACCTCCCCCTTCTATTTTCCAAGACTTCATTGCTTCAACTCCCTATTTCCTACCTGTTTCTGGGGAGTAGCCCCAGACCCTAAGCTTTTAGGGAAGGAGAAAAAAGGTCTTTGCACAGGAAAGTTTTAATTTTTCCTTAGATCAGATTTGGAGAAGTAAGCCTGTATTTATTAAGAAGGAAGAAGTATCTGGGAATCAAAGTGTCTGGGGCCCAGGGAGGAAAATGTATCTCAAGCAGAAGGGACAGTGTGGGAAAAAGCAGAGATGTAGTTAAATAAAACATGTTGAAAAATCCTATGGGTGGTATGAAGTGACGCACATGAGGGTCTGATAGAAGACTAGGTTAGAGGAAGAGAGGATCAAGCTATGACTGCAAGGCGTTCCACTGATGCTCCTTGGCATTCTGAAAGACTCAGAGGCTGCCCTGACCCTGAGATGACACCCTTTTCTAGAAGACTTGACTGAACTCACTAAATGAGCAGCTGAGAATGTCTACTGACCGATGTTCCACTTCTGTAGATGGTTTTCCAGTGTGCAAAATCCACTTACAACTTCCCAGTGTTCCAGATGTATAACACACACAAAATAGCGGCATTAATTTGGGCAGGGTTTGGCAGAAATTATCTCTGCTCTATTCATCATTAGTGGAGCATCCAGGATCATCTGGAGGGTTTGTTACTCACAGCTGTGAATGCTGGGGCTGAGCTGAAATCTACATGTGACCTCTCTTTGTGACCTGGGCTTCTTCTGAACATAGCAGCTGCCTTCCCAGGATGAGTGTTCTCAAAATGAGAGCCAGGTGGCAGTGTTGTTAACTTAGCGTGGATATCTAACTGTACTTCTGCTGAAGTAGAAGTCATTAGCTGCCAGTCACTGAGATCTTCTAATGTGCAAAGGGAGAGAGGAGTTAGTGTTATACTAAGATGCTGAAAAATTAAAATAATTGATTAAAGATAATGAACAAAAATAGTTACTTAAAAAGATAGTTATTAGTAATACTGTCATCATTCTGTACTGAGCTCATTACCCTAGTAACCAAGCACCAATCACATAGTTATAAATTAACTGACCGCGTCATTATGCTGTTCTGTAATGCGTCATCCCGCCCCCCCACCTTAGTAACCTGTGTGCTATGTCAACTTTTGTTCCCCTTGTAAGAGACAAATGATGCTGTGTCAGCCACTGTTCCCTTTATGAGAGACAAATGTTCCTGGAATTGGCAGACCAAGGGCTATGAGTTGGCTAACCACCTACTGCGGAATGCCTCTGACCTCAAGCAAAAGAGAACAAAGGCTCACCTTGTTTCTGTTTCTCATCACTATATTCTTAATGATCAATGAGCTAATCATAAATGAACTACAAAAATCAGTCAAAACTCTCAGCTGCACAGCTTTGCAAATTCCATCTGCACCGTGTCACTGGACCAGCTAAAATAAAAGTGCTTCTTCCTAAAAACGACATTGTTCTGCCCCATCTTTTCCA